GCAATGAATATGTTTTGTCCTTAATTTCATTGACAAAGTCAACACTGGTTTTGGCAATAAAATAGTGCTTTAAATATAATTTACAAAATTATTTTAAAACATAAATAAAAATCAATTTTAAAAAATAAACGTTACTGAATCAAATAAACTTTTTATCATGGGTGTCATTTTTTATAATTAGTCAGCAATTTTTATATAGTTTATATTGCTTTTTATTAAAGTCTTTGAGCTGTATTAATTGCTCCACAATGTCTTTAAAGAAGTCGTTCTGTTGTCTATGATGGCCATCACTGAGCACAACACATGGCTGAAGAGTAAAAATCTCAAACTCTCTATAGAGAAATGGATTTCATGTGAAATTGTATACATGTTTCTGAACAGATGTGCAATGTTAATTACTGACATGTGCTTAAATTGAACAGGTGAATTTTTTAAATGAAACAATTAGACATTTCTGGATTGTTTTCTATTGATATACATCTATAAATATGCTTATTTTGACCAGTGGTAAATTAATCTAATGAATGAATAAATGAACATTAAACAACAAATATGTTTTGTCCTTATTTTCATTGACAATGAAACATTGATTTTGACAATAAAATTGTGTTTTAAATAAAATTAACAAGATTATAATAATAAAGAAACTTAAATATACTTAAAAAAATAAAACCTTTTTCAGTTATTAAATATAATATAAAAACTTTTATCATAGCTGTTATTTTTTATAACTAGTCAGCTATCTATTATAGTTTAAATTGCCTTTTTATTAAAGCCTTTAAACTGTAATAATTGCTCCACAATGTCTTCAAATAAGTCCTTCTGTTTAATATCAGGGCCAGCACTGAGCACAACACAAGGCTGAGGAGCAAAAATCTCAAACTCTCCAGAGAAATGTATATAATGTAAAATTGTTTTATATTTTAAAAATCCAACAATTTGAAACTTCAGGATTGTTTTCTATTAATATATTTCCATAAATATGTTTATTGTGACCAGTGTAACTTCATTTTATGAATAAATGAGCATCAGGCAACAAACATTTTTGCACTTATTTACATTGACGAAATAACACTGGTTTTAAATATAATTTTAGAAATAAAAAATACAATATATTTAAATAAATAAATATAATAAAATCTGTTTTTTTTTTTTTTTGAGTTTCAAAATTAAATAAGCATTGCTTTCATGAGCACTTAAATTTGTAGACTCATTTGTATCATGGGTGTCATTTTTATAACTACAAGTCAGCAGTTACATAATATATTTTTATAATTTATATTGCCTTTTTATTAAAGCCTCTACAGAGACGTCTCTGTAGAAAAATGTATTTTATGTGAAATTATTTTCAAACAGATTTAAACTGATTAATCAATGACATTTACTTCATTTAATAGTTCAATTTCTAAAATTAAAACCAGAAGTTTTTTTCTATTAATATGATCATAGATTGTTATAAATATATTAATTTTGACCTGAGTTACTTGTCAATAGGGTATATGCCGAGCTAGTGTTGTTCCCATACTGATAAACTTCCGGTGACCTGTTATTGTGAGTTTTTTTCCATTTTATAAAGTTTCTTTTACAGCATTGATGTTGTAATATAATTAAAATACAATCAGTTAAACAGACTTTGGCATTCATTTAGTTGCTCAAATGTAAAACGACACAAAAAAACGTTTACTTGCACGCCTGTCAGAATCGGCAGGTTAGCGCAGAAGCTCCATTAAATATACTGGGGTAAAATAAATGCTCATATTATAAAGACATGACATGGGAAAATGTAATTTAATGCAGTGCTTCTTGTACAATCTGAGACCCACTTTACATCAGATATCACTCAGCCAGTGGAGATCGCTGATTTTAAAAGAAAACTGACCTTAAACGCGCAGATTTTGCAATGGCAATCAGTTCACCGGAATCGGTTAACCCAGATTACAGGCAAATTAAAAGTCCTATTAGCATGCTTCGGCATATACCCTATAAATGTCTTGACAAATAGAAACTTTACAAGCCTATAATGCCAGTAACATGACTAAAAAGAACAACACAATGGAGCGGATTAGAAACAAAAATTAATGTTGGTCATCGTTTTGACAACATTTTAGTCTGTTTTTTTTCATGAGAAATACTGTGCTGTTCCTTTATTAGATAAGAAGTTTGGAGCTTGCACATTCATAGTTTTCAGTCACGCTACCTGTCAAGTTTCAGTTTGTGTCGAGCTATATAGTAAAAATGATCACAATTAACATAGATCTTATTTGATTTTATTATTGCATTATATTACAATATTTTTTAGATTAGATTAAGTAAATGTTGCCTTCATGAGCACTTAAAGTTGTAGATTCATTTTTATTATAGATGTCATTTTAAAAACAACAAGTTAACTACACTATATTGTATATATTACATCATATATGAATCCTTGACAAATCCTTAAAAAACAAACTGGAATGGAAAAATACTTGTGAAAGCAAAGCCACTAAAATTGGCCAGTCATTATTAACACATATAATAAAAAAACACACAAATTACATACACATTTAGCTCTGAATCTTTTTGCAGGGAAAAAAAGAAACAATTTCCCCTTTTCCTGATTATCTCTGAGGAAACAAATATAAAATCCTGGGCACATGGAATATCCCTCGAGTGACAGAGGAAACAGGCTCTTTACGTAGTTGTTTTGAGTTCTATCAAGCCACAAATGGACGCTTTTCATTGCATTTTCCATTTCACAATGGCCGCCTGCTAAAAACCACACAAATGCTATTTGAATCGGCCAATGCTGCCAAACACATAAAAAAGCAGCACCTCCAGCCGAGCCGCCAGCATTCAGTCCAGGGGTTCAGAGACATCTGTTTTAGACGCCTGAAGACACTTCAGACCAAATGATAAAGTGCC